CCTACCCAAGCTCCAGTATCTTGCACATTATAGTCAATATTGGCTGCATGCAAAACCCATTCTTCTTGTGGAGCTGATCTGGATCTTTAAAGGCAAAAGTATTTTTTTGCATATTGGTTTGGCATTTTCATAAGCTATTGTAAATACAATCGAATGTCTTACTGCCGGATCTGTTACTTGTAATTCTACTGCCCTAGTTAACCTTTGTAAGAAGTCCTGGAACTGTTCTGTAGGTCCCTGTTCTATTCTGGTATAAGCTTCTAGGCGTTCTCCTGGCTCACGAACCTTATTCCAGGTGTTAAATGCTGCTTTCCTACATAGGGACAGTATATGGTCATCATATTCTGCCTGAGCCTGTGGGTTATCATAAATACCCTCACCAGGAATCTTATCTAGGGGGGCTTAATAACCTTCCTTTATGCCTTGACACTCAAGGAGCTTTGCCTCATCCCTGACCAATGCCTTCCACTAGATTTGCCATGAATTCTCAAGTACAGTTGCCACCAATCATTCCCAATCTGTGGGCATCATGCTGTTAAAGGTTGCCCATGAATGTAATAGCTGTTTTACATATGGGCTATGAAGACCTTATGAGACAACTGATTCTTTACTGTTATTAAGATCCTTCAGCTGGGCACTGTGAGAGGCCATGAAAGGCCATTGGTGAAGGTGCAGCCTCAGTGGCAGCTGAAGGCCTAGGCCTGAAGGGGTCATGCAAAGAAGCTGAGGCTTGGCACCATGAGGAGAGCACATGAGTGGCTACTGGTGAAAGTGTAGCCCAGTTGCAGCAGAAGACCCTAGCATTTTGGAGATGGTAGTAACATGGGATGACCACCAAGGACAGTAGCAGCAGTGGAGTAGAGCCAGCTAGAAGACAAGCTGTGCGTGCTGCAGAGAGCAGAGCCAGAGAAGTCCAGAAGATCCCAGACATAGGAAGGTTGGAATTTTGATTTAATTGTGACCGTGCCCTGATTTTTTCCTCTTGAAGAAAGTTCTCACAGTTGAAAGACTTGAATTTTAGAAGGCTTTGGATTTTTAAAGAGATTGACTATTTTAAAGAAACTGAAATTTTAATGTTTGAGTTTGTAAAGCCTGTAGTATTCTTGAGGATGAGTAAGAAAAGAAGGGTTGTGTTTATGTGTCAAGTTGTCAAGGGGTCATTTTTTACTGGGTGGTTTTTGTGTCAGCACAAGCTCCAGTTACCAGAAGAAGGAGCCTCAGCTGAGGAAATGCCCCCTTGAGATCCAGCTGTAAGGCATTGTCTCATTTAGTAATCAATGGGAGAGGGCCCAGCCCATGGTCAGTGATGCCATCTCTGGGTGAATGGTCCTGGGTTCTATAAGAAAGCAGGCTGAGCAACCCAGGAGAAGCAATCCAGTAAGCAGCTCCCCTCCATGGCCTCTATATCAGTTCTTGCCTCCAGGATTCAGCCCTGTTTGAGTTCCTGTCCTGACTTCCTTCAGTGATGAACAGCAATGCTGAAGCGTAAGCAAAATAAACCCTTTCCTTCCCCTCCCCCCAAAAAGATCCTTCAGCTGTATAGGTTGCCATACATAAGCCATCTGTCCCTGAGTGTGTTTCTTTTCTACCATGTTAGCTGGGTACACTAATGGTGTCCGAGTAACAACCTTAGAGGAATAGTCATGATACCTGGGTGGAGTAGGTGCCTTGGATTGGAGTGATTCTGCCTCTGAGGCATCCCAATGCTCTTTCAGCCTAGTAATGATAACCTCATGAAAAATTTCAATTTACTGCATCATAAAAGATTCCAAGCATGTTAGTGAATCTGTAAATTTCTCTAACTGCTCTTCTACATGTTTTTCTAGGTCTTTAATATGGTTGTCCTTAGCATCTGGATGACATGAAAACTGCCTTCTAGGTATTGGAGTCTAGATTCCAGGTCATCATTTGCTGATTTTGAGTCCTCAGCAATCGACCTTATGGACCTATCTAATCTGTCAGCCCTGTTCTGTAAATTATCTTCCAAACATTCAAATCTAGGCTCAAATTTGTGATCTCCTACCTTAGATGCTTCAATAATTGATTGAATGGCATTGTCCAATTCTTCAATCCTATCCTGGGTATTTTGCACCTTTGCATCTAGTTTCTCAGTTCTTGTTGGTGTGGAGTCCCTAGATTCTGGTGGTGTCATATTGGTGTTTCTGTTGTTAAGTGTGCTCTTATTCTGTTGTCTTCCCATCCCTCCTTCCAGTGGGTACAGGTGGCATCTCTCACTCTTTTTTAGTCTCCTCAATCAAAGGGCAGAGGGAGGGGAGACAAACATAAGGTATGGCCAGACTCAGGGTGGGCCTTCTTGTCTGGGCAGGTCCACTTTTCTGGTGGCAGTCAGAGGGCAGAGGGTGGAGGGGGGACCAAGAGTGAGGTGTGTCCAGATTCAGTGTGGGCTTTCGGGTCTGGGCAATTCCACTCCTGTCAAGGGGCAGGCTCAGGAAGAAAGAGGAGGGTGATGGGGGAAGTTGGGGCCAGAGCAGAGCCCAGACTCACCTCAGGCAGCAGGCAGAGGGCAGAGAGCAGAGGGGGGGCAAGGGTGGGGTGTGTCCGGACTCAGGGTGGGTCCCCCTGGCTGGGAAGTTCCACTCTTGTAGAGGGGCATGCTCAGGAAGAAGGAAGAGGGGTTTATTGGGGGAGTTGGGGGCCAGAGAGGAGTCCAGACTCACCTTAGGCTAGAACACAAGAAAAGGTGAGACTTTAAAAACCTGAACTCAGCCAGGCATTTGTGGTACAAGCCTTTAATCCTAGCACTTGGGAGGCAGAGGCAGAGGCAGGTGGATCTCTGTGAGTTCGAGGCCAGCCTGGTCACCAGAGCGAGTGACAGGATAGGCTCCAAAGCTACACAGAGAAACCTTGTCTCCAAAAACCAAAAAAAAAAAACTGAACTTGCCCCCTCCACCCTCTGCCCCCTACTTGCTACCTGATGCCTGCCGCCTAAGGTGAGTCTCTGAATCTGGATACCCACAGCTATACACTGAACTGAACTCTGGAACCCAGTTGCAGAGAGGGAGGAATGAATGAAGTACAAATGGGTCAGGACCAGACTGGTGAAACCACCAGAAACAGCTGACCTGAACAAGGGGGAGCACATAGACCCCAGACTGATGTCTGGGAGGCCAGCATGGGACTGATCCAGACCCCTGAACGTGAATGTCAATGAGGAGGCCTCGGCACTCTATGGGGCTCCTGGTAGTGAATCAGTATTTATCCCTGGTGTAAGATGGGACTTTGAGAGCCCATCCCACATGGAGGGATACTCTCTCCAACTAGACACTGCCTAGGATGATATGATAGACTTTGGGGAATCCCTATGGAGGGCTTACCTTGCATGGGGAGCAGAGGGGGGATGAGGTGTAGGGCTGGTGGGGGGTTAGTGGGATGGGAGGGAGAGGGAGAAGGGATTGACATGTGAAGAAAGCTTGTTTCTAATTTGAACTAATAAAACTAAAAACAGCATTTCACCCATAAAAAGTACTATTTATTTTTATGTACATAGGTATTTGGTCTACATGTGTGTCTATCCACCACATGCATGTAAGTGCCCATGAAGGCCAGAACAGGGTATCAGACTCCAGGGGTTACGTAATTTGGTGAACTGCCAAGTGGTTAATGAAATCAAACCCTTGGGCTCTGGAAAAGGAGCTGATTCTCTTAACATCTGAGCCATCTTTTCAGCCCTCTTTTAAATTTCTCAGTAAACACTTTTTTTGACTCCTACTTGAAAGATATTAATTCTAGATTGAAAAGCATATAGAAAAGTTATTAATCAGCACAACCATTTCTTTATTTCAGCCTTACCTTGTATATAATGCACATTGTATGGCCACAATACATTAAAAATTACCACATATTTTAGTCTCATATGTTCTGCTTTAGTGAAAACCCATATATTCTAGGAATAATGGAAGAAAAGAACATGTCTCATCAATACTTTAAATCACTCTCCCATTCCAAAACTCATAGTAATTTGATTATTTTTAATTTAGTATTTTATGAATGTTGAATGATGTTACAAACTATAAAATATTGATATGCATTTTAACATCTTATTTTTAGTTACATAAAAACCAGGTACTGGAGAGATGACTCAGTGATTAAGGGTGGCTGCTGTGAAGTCATGGGACCAGAGGTATATACCCGAATTCATATAACAAGCTAGGTTTCCCATGACTGCTGGTAACAACAAGCCCCAAGTTATCAGACACTCTTCTGGCACACCCAGCACATATCCATAAATATTTCAAAATTACCTAGCAAACGAAGGCTGTAGTAATATCTAGGTCCCCTTGCTTGTTGGAAAATAATACCCAGTAGCTGCCAATGGTTTATCAACCACTAAGCACTCTTCTGTATTGTCCCTTTTGTGCCTTTCAGGATTGCACTTGTGACAACGACAATGGAAAAATACAGGAAAAATTTTCAAAAAAGACTAACATTTTCTGTTGTAATTATTGATTAAGTTTACTTGCTGAGTATCTAAATTTTTTAAATGTTTAATTGTGGCTTCATAATGTTCAAAGGACAATACGTGTCTGAGGTGTTATAATTATTCAAATAATCTATTCTCAAATATATGTGACATTAAAGAGAAACTTACAGAAAATAAACACTTTATCAATATATAGTACTTTGTTTGAAATTCATCTTTCATATGAAAATGAGTGGCTTCCCTTCTTACATGTGAGATAATGCTTTAAATTTACTGCTGCTTCTTTTATGTTGGCTGTTCATTAGAGAGTCAACTGCAGTATTTACACATCAGGCATACAGTAGTATTGTTTAACTATCAGCCAGATACTAGCGCTAGTTAATCATTACCATGGAGTTGAAATTGTTAAACATTCGCCAGAAAATAGGAATGGTTAACCAGCAGAGAGGAAGTGCCACTAGTTAGCCATTACACAGCAAGTTGATACAGGATGTTTACCGACTTCTGCTTTAGGGCACCAGAAGATTCAGGACTCGCTTAGACAGAGGAGTGACAGGCAATGAATTCCAGACAGCAGTTGGTCAGACTAAACGATGGTCAATTCATTCCGGCTCTGGGTTTTGGCACCTATAAACCCATTGAGGTAAGAATGCATGATTCTTTGTATTTCCAGGCTAGAGCTATTCCATGTACAAGAAGACAGATAGTCAGGCTTGCCCTGAACCAGGGTTTGATTGAGTCCCCACATGTTTATTATTCTGGTTAAACAGAGCTTACAGCAGCTGCAATTGGTGGCTGTGGGCAGGAGACCAAGCTGATTCCTTAGATAGGCTGAGTCAAGACTGTGTCAGAATAGGGTCTTTATTCATTCTAGTACTTGTCTGGGGAAAGATCTTGTCCTGGTGAGCCAGCAGAGAGGCACACTTAATGGAGAACAAACATTTTCTTTGAGGGTGGGTGTTAATGTTGTATAGGATGGAGTTACAGGACACATGTCTCAGTGACATTGGGATACTTACTATAACTCAATCAGGGACTTCAGGGATAGGGAGAAAGTTTGTTTATGTTCCCTGTTTATTCTTGCTGTAGGTTCTGGAGTTTGAGCTCGGCAGAAAGTGGCTGTGTCTTTTATTTTGGTTTTGCTTTTCTGACCCAGGCCTGCCTTCAGTTTACTACTCTAGTTTGGGGCCTGTCAGCTCTACAAGTGAACTTGGCATGAATCTTCAGACTGTGAGCTCTCGGCTCAAGGGACATGTCTATGACCTAACAATTCTTAGCAATATGTTTTTTCTATGTCTATTGTTCTCAGCTTGATAGAAAAAAAGAAAGTCATCAAATTGTCTATCAGCTTTCTTGAGAGTAGTGTGAGAGGGAACTTCTCTGTTTATGTCTACAATTTATGACACCATTTTTCCTTTCAAGAAGGCAAGATACAGGGAAATCAGCATGGTAACTCAGGGTGTCTCCTTGTAGATTAATGCACAAACTAATATCTGAGGACTACTCCAATTTTGTTTTGGTGTAGCCTTCAGCATCACACAGTGAATGCTGCACCAGGGCTAAGAAAGGTCTCCCATGTACAAATTCTCAACTGTGGGAAAATTACTGGGATTTATCATCCTGAGTGTCCTGAATGACAGGGGGAAAGAGGTCCTAGAAATGCTAAGTGTAAATCAGTGGTCTTCATTAATGCATGTTTAGTGCATTCTGGTCCTCAGAACTGAAAACATCAAGGTGTACTGTTTCTGAACATGGAGGGACTATCTTATTTTCTATACCTCCTGAGACTTCTTAATTCTGTGACAAAGGGGCACTTCACCTAACTTCAAATTTGTTTGTGCATTTCCTTCCTGTTAGATTATGCTTAAATTCATAGAGATATCTGGAGATATACACAGGATTTCCTACTTTTGCAAAGTGGCACAAAAAACAGGAACAGGTCAAAGCTACTTCTAAAGCCTCAGGGTTGGTGAATCACGGAGTAGCTTTGTGAATCACAGAGTAGTTTGTCTGGAACTCAGTGATTCTGCTAGGTTGGCATTTCTGTGAGCTTCAGGCATCACCCTGACTTTGCTCCCCCAAGCACTGGGTTTACACCTGTATGTCACCATGTCACACTCAGCTTTACCTGAGGGCTGATGGTCTCAACTAAGAGTCTAAGTGTTGTTTTTTCAAATGCTTCATTGATTGAGACATCTCCCAAGCCTACACCATAAATCCTTTAATAAAAGAACTGTCAACTGTCGTATCATTATTCAAATCTCACAGTCAAGGCAGTAATTTTAGATTTAATTCCAGTCTTACTTATCCTTTTTAAACAAATTAGTTTTGATTGAATGGGCTGACTTGATGTATGTAATTTATTTTTAATGAGGATATATTCCTAGGGTAGATTATCTTTTCCTGCCAATATTTTTGTTTCTTATCAAAGTGATTGGATATACAGAAAGACTAACATAGGACATTCTTCTCTGTTTAAGTCCCTATATTAACTTGGCCTTGCTTGGTATTTGAGATCTTTGCTTTCTCATCTTTTTGTGACAGTGTCTTAGCTGGGGTCATGGAGGAGTCTTTATGTAATTGTGCCTTGTCCCAAGCAGACTTCCTTGTGTTCAATTTGTTAGTAACCCCACTACATAAATTGAGTGTGACTTTTAAGCAAGCAGTTGAACCCAGGGTGAGCTTGGCAATCATCAGTGCCAGTAAGCAAGCAGGATTGCATAGATATAAAGAGGTTCTTGAATCTGAAAATCTTTCTGTTAATTAGGAAAGACCCCGAGAAAGTGGATTTTGGCTCATTGCCTCAAACATTGAGTCTGTGGAAATACTTAGCTTTCTGTGAGATCTACAGTATTTCTGGAGAATTCACTGTGTTTTTTTTTTTATAATTTTTAGAATAGAAAGTAGGGATGAAGGATCAGGGGACTAGGATGTTGCCCAACAAGTGGTCTGAGGATGACTTTGAGAAAGAAAATTCTTTCTAGTCTAGTAAACTCCTATCTAGGCTCACTCTGAGCTAACTCTCAGAACATGCATCTCTAAATACCTCTTTTTGTTGTTCCTCTAGGTTCCCAAGAGTAAGTCAGTGGAGGCTGCAAATCTCGCTATAGGTATTGGGTACCGCCATATTGATACTGCTTATGCATATCAAATAGAAGAGGAGATAGGACAAGCCATTCAAAGCAAGATTAATGCTGGTGTTATAAAGAGAGAAGACATGTTCATCACTACAAAGGTATAGTTTTATAGTATGCAAGTGAAAATTATTTAAATATGATATAGGTAAGTGAAAATTATAATACTAGACCAGAAATCAGTTAAGGTGTCAGTTGCATAAATGGGTAAGAGGAAGTAATGGTAGGTTATAATATCTATGAAAAATAATTCAGTTATTAGACATAATTAGTAGTATTTCATTTCTTGAGTAATTTCCTTTCATTGTTCAATAAATGAACTACCTATAACAAAAATATACGTAACTGAGTTTACATTGTCAATTAAGAGTAAATCCCAGGTTAAAGGAAATGATTATAACTTTTCTTCAAGTGTAAAGATTGTTTCAGTAATAGGATAAATAAGTATGCATGTTTGGGCAATCTATTAATTGATTACAACTTCTATTCTTCAACATTTGTAGCTTTGGTGTACTTGCTTTCGGCCAGAGCTTGTCCGGCCTGGTTTGGAAAAGTCACTGAAAAAGCTTCAACTGGAATATGTTGATCTTTACCTTATGCATTACCCAGTGCCAATGAAGGTATGTGAATTGTATTGCCAAATGTATGTATTTCATGGGGGCATGGATATCATTTTTATGGATGATTGAGACAAGTTTCCATTATAATTTCATACTATGTTAATTTGTGTTTTAAACTTCTTAGTGGGTTCAATGAAGAGTTTACTGCAGTATGAAATGAAGTGACCAAGAAATGGTCAGAATCACAGATAAGATGTCACTTCCAGTAAAACATATATTTACATGTCTTTTACATTTATTTGTATTACTAGATGTGTGCTTGGGCCTTGTCTCTGTTTTCTATCTTGGTGGCAAATGTGGCCCCAGGATAGTTTCAGTTTCAAGGTCATTGACACTTTATGGCTTCTCTGCATCCTTTCTTATCACAATTAATCTTGCACACAGTCCTGATTGGCCATCCTTGGTTCACATGCCTGTCCTTGTGCCCACATGTATTCATATATTTTATTTATCCTGGGAGAGGATTGGTATAAATTCTCGCTGGGGTTAAGGATATGCAATGACTGTACTTCCCAGTAAATATGAAACATTTTCTTTTTTCCAAACTAAAGAGTAGAAAAAAAGAATACAAGTCAGCTTGGAGGTCTCATTTTGTTGTTTGAAAATATTATTTAAGTACATGAATTATATATATATATATATATATATATATATATATATATATGTGTGTG